TTAAAATTTAATATAATTATCAAATATAAAAAAATTAATTAAAAAAAATTTAACTACTCTTGCAATTAAATTTATTCTATTTTCCTTCTGTACACGTGGCATTTTGGCATTGGCCCCGCGGGACTCCATTACTTCTGTACAGTGGGGACCCCATTCCTTCTTTGCAGTGGGGACCGCATTGGTTCTGTGCACGTGGCATTTTGGCGTTGGCCCCGCGGGACTCCATTACTTCTGTACAGTGGGGACCCCATTCCTTCTTTGCAGTGGGGACCGCATTGGTTCTGTGCACGTGGCATTTTTCTATAAGCCATTGACCCCGCGGACTCCATATGACATCGTACTTCTTGAAAATTTCCTTGTAAATTTCCTTGTTTGATGATTATAAAAGCACTTGCCATTAGAAGAACCGGATCATCAGCAAAACAGAGTACAACATTGTACGAGGCACAAATCAAAATTAGCATCCTCCCAAAATGCCATCACCACCTTCTTCCCCTATCTTAGAATCCCCACAGCCAATTCCACAACCACCAGCCCTTATCGGAAATGACTTGGAATCTCAACAATTTGATTCAGATGTTGCTCAGCAGAATCTGCAATGGCAAAATGCCATACTTTCATTTTGCTTTACATCTGCCCTAGAAATATCTCTCCAGTTTGCAACTACTCAGTCCGAACTGCCTCTCTCCCTCAGTTTGGTTTCTTTTGCAATCTTGATTACCTTTGCCTTTCTCTTGCTTGCAAAGTATATCAGAAAGGATCATACCAGAGTATCCCAAGTGTTGGAGAAAGTTGCATTTCTCATTGCTGCAGCTACAGTCTGCTACACCACCACAATTCCCTTCCCAATAGGCTTCAAGATTGTTATCTGGTGTATCTTTTCCATTTCCTTGCTTATTCTTGTCATTTACAGCAAGTACTTCTGCCGTCCTGCTGCTTAAAGCAATACCAAGGCATTTTTTCCTTGCAAATTGCAGTTAAATGAAGATGGCCTGACTAGAGCCTAGAGGTTTTATAAATTAAAGAACTGTACTGCTGGGAAACTGCATTCATTTGGTGTTCGCTAGCCACACATTATAAGATGAGCAAAGATAGTAAAGAAGATTTATTGTTCCTTTTATCTCTCCATAGTTTTACCTTCAATTATCAATAGACAAAAATATGTCTTTTCTATTTGGATGTATGTGTAAGATAGCTGAATTGTGTATTTGAGAATAATTACAAATTGCAATCATTTGTTTGGTTTCACTCTAAATCCTTCTAATCTTGATGCAGTGATTCTAGCTAGGCTCCTAAATAACTTGCATTTTCGAGTTCTACTTTAGGCAAAAACCCTTCTTAAGCCCCCAAACTCGAGTTCTGGTCCTTTTTCCTTTTCTAAATTGTCCTAACCGATTACCCTCCTCTCCGATCAACAAAATTCATATCTGAAATTTTTTTTGGTTTCCTCCTTCAATGGCGACTTCTCGAACGACCCTCCCGCTTTGGTTTCTCGTTCACCTCTTCTTGTTTTCTTCTTCTTCTTCTGCTTCTGTTATTTCGCTTCCTTCCGATTCGGATAAAGCTTCGGTGGCTTTGTACTATGAATCCCTGTGCCCTTACAGTGCTAATTTCATAATCAATTACCTCACTAAGCTCTTCGAAGATGATCTCATCTCCATCGTCGACCTCCGCCTCGTCCCTTGGGGAAACGCCAAGCTTAGAGG